CAGTCATTTCTACCTGTCAGTTGTGTCATTAGCTCAATGCACTCTCTACTTTCTGTCACTCCTATTTTATGAATGACATTAGCCATTGAAATTGAAGTCTTTGAAATTGCCCTTTGCAGTGACTAATTCTATTCAGGAAATAACAGTGAAAATGAATGGACTGGAAGATAACAGCTGGATCCTGGCAGAGTTTCCAGACACAAGTACAAGGATACACCGCTCAGGTGAGTATAAAAGACTGATCCCAAGAAGCCAATCCCACTGACAGGTGCTGGTCTGACTTGCCACCGTGTAAAATATAGAGACAAAAAGAGGGTGGCCACACTCAGCAAAGTTTCCTATGGCATCCTGTGATCTGTCATTCTGGAATAAAGACATTTTATATGAACATCCCTTTGCTGAGTGTGGCCATCCTCTTTTGTCTGAGTTTCCAGTGGGACATGTCTTGCAAAAGGCAGCACAGATATAAGTGCCCTTAAACTTTACTTTTACCTCTCAAGTCGTTTCTCTGGAAATCTCATTTATAATGCCACGGGCAAAACTGAAGGTAATCAGTTTAAGGCGCCATGCACACTAGCATTTTTGTAAGCTCCTAGAAGCTATTATGAGCATTTTTTCTGCTCCTAGAAGGTAATAGTGTTATCCTATGTGCCCATGCACACTATTTTATGCTAGAAGCATTTTTCAAGCTCCAGCGTTTAGGAGCAGAAAAAAGATATATTTTTGTAGAGTTTTTGGGAGTATTTTCCTGGCAGAAAACAACTCTAAATGCTCCTATACACTTCAGAACGCTAATAAAACACTCCTAACAGCTTTTTCTAGTTTTTATTTTCTTCATGTACTGTAGAAATGCTAATAAAACACTAATGCTCCTAGATGCTTCTAAATACTCCTAAAACGCTACTACAAGCTGGCACGAATCGTTATTAGCAGCATTTTTATTGAATATTTTTTTGCATTTGTTTAGCTAATAAAAAATGCTAGTGTGTATGGAGCTTAACCAATTCCCCGCCGCCCTATAGCAGAAATACTGTTACAGGGCAGCAGGGGTGCTCAAAATCACATACATATACATGACTTTACATTTCTGGGTAGGGGGCATGTGCGCGCCCTACCCGGAAATGCAAAAATCGCAGCCATAACTGTCAATCACCGGGTCCCGGCCGGTGATTCCCCACTGGTGTCTGGTGATTACCAAGGATCTCTGACTGGGAGGAAGGCTGCTTTGTTTACTAACAGTCCTCCTCCCTGTCGGCTCAGCTCAAAAATATAGTTTTTGTTTTTTTTTCAAAATTGTCGGTCTTTTTTTTTTTAATAGTGCAAAAAATAAAAACCCACACAGGTTATCAAATACCACCAAAAGAAAGCTCTATTTGTGGACAAAAAGGACGTAAATGTCATTTGGGTGCAGCGTTGCATGACCGTGCAATTGGCAGTTAAAGTAACGCAGTGCTGTATTGGAAAAAATTGCCTGGTCAGGAAGGGGGGGGGGGTACCAAGTGGTTAAGATTTTTTTCACTGTTTTCTACTGACAAAGATGTCAAGAAGAGGATTCTTGTGCTGTATGTTATTTATAGACATTATTTTCTGATTAGTGAGATTCTTGTGTTCGCTGAGTTTTCATGGCTATAGTGGTCTTCTTCAGCCTCTATGATATTGAAATCTGTGGAAAAAAAGAGAACTCTGCATATGGGTGACATCATCTGAGATCTTGTAGATGATGTCACCGATATGCAGAGTTCTTCTTTTTCCCTGAATGAGTGAAGTCACTCTGAAACGCGTTGGCTCATATAGAAACTATCTCTGTAACCATATCTATGGATGGTGATGTTACATTTTAAATGGCTAGTCAAACATAGTCATACTGGGTATCCTTATCATACAATTAATACGTTGATGGTGATGCTGTACTATGACTTTGGATGATGTATTGTATGGTATGTCTACATGTTAAAATAATTTATTGAAACAGTAAAAAGCTTGTACTTTTTATAAAACTTTTTTTCGGTATATATCTATGCCTTCAAAGTCCTATAGGGGGTCTTTTCCCTTTATTTATCTGCTAGCCAAAAAGGTTTCTTTGTGCCCCTCAGGTTCAGTTTAATTTTTAAACTGAGGGTTTAACTGCATTGACTCTGGGATAATCTCATAAGAGGTTGGCATTCCTGGCTGAACATTACAGCCGGGGCCATCTGGTGCCTGTTTTTAAGAAGGGGTTTTCCTTTAAAATGTTTAAATATATTTCTTGTTTGCTCTAGGATCACTATTTAAGAAATGTATCCTAAGAACTGTATGAGGTTAATACCTGCAATGATGGGATTCAGAATATTAAGTTCACATGCCTTTGTATTTCTCTTTACATTTACATACAGGACATGCTCTCCAGATAAGTGACAGTGACAGATGAGGACAAACTACAACACTGCCAACAATGAGAAATGTGTCATCTCTATATGTAGCTTTTTTTAAATCTTATTCAAAAGTTCACTCTTAAATACCAGATACACAATTTGTCAAGTTCTGTCAAAAAGTGACAACCAAATTAAGAGCCATTATTATATCTCTCAGCCTTGGTGAAACCAATAATCACCAGATATAACGTTGTTACTCAGATTGTATTTGTATTAAAATTGAAATGTATTCTTCTTATATATGTGTTCCCTGGCCTCTTCTTTTCCCCTCATTTACATTCTTATGAAAATTTTAAACAGAACCCTTCCATTTTCATTACATACCTTAGTTTAGATCCAGTGACATCATCACTCAGTTTCTGTATTTCTCTGTGCAATGCAGGCAGATCATGAATGGTGGGAGGGGAAAGCAGGGTTCTGCACATAGCCCCCTGAAAACATTGCAGCACCCTACTTTACTACACCTTCCAAGAGACTTTAGCCCTGATGCAAGCAGTAGGCTGGCTCTTGGGGGGAGTTATGCACCTATGGACTAAATGTTAGTACGGGGTATTGGGCTATCCTAGGCAGGCTGCATTTACATGTACTATAAAACAACAAAAAAAAGAAAGGGGTGCACCAGCCTTGCACATTACCTTAATACAAACGTTATTAATAAAACATGGCAGATATATACTCACAGACGCCAAATGAAAACAGGCATATCATGCCCAACATAAGTTCATGGTCTATAGTACTGCTCGAGTTCCGCCATGCAAGAGGATGTTCAAAAACAGTTGATGCTTTTCGAGGTGAGATCCCCTCCTCCTCAGAGCCTCTTACTTCCCAGTATGCATTTACATGTAGCCTGCTGTAAGTAACCGTGAGCCTCCAAATTTGAAATTCAAGTAATAAAATGAGTGGGCCAGGAACAATCAGGCTTGGGAGGAAAGTGCTAGATAGTGCATGATGTCCTCAGCCAGGAAATGAGACAGGCTATATTGACTTGATCTAATGAAAATCTTCCAGTGTGCAGTGGAATCAATTCTGCATGCAAGAGGATGTTCAAAAACAGTTGACGCGTTTCGAAGGGAGATCCCCTCCTCCTCAGAACCTCTTACTTCCCAGTATGCATATACATGTAGCCTGCTCCAAGTAGCACTGAGACTCCACATTTGAAAGGACTGAAATTCAAGTAATAAAATGAGTGGGCCAGGAACAATCAGGCTTGGGAGGAAAGTGCTAGATAGTGCATGATGTCCTCAGCCAGGAAATGAGACAGGCTATATTGGCTTGCCCTAACGAAAATCTCCCAGTGTGCAGTGGAATCAGAGTAATTTCAGCACGGGATTGGAGCCTCTACGACTGTGCAAGACTACAGGTAAGGCTGAGATACAGCTTTATGTTGGAATGTTTGGAGATGTTGGAATATTTACTGATTATACCCACCATGGAAGAAGCACCATTTGGAATTCACGATGCTGGTATCATAGCAGCAACCTTTCTGATCGCACTCTTCCTTGCTGATTCCTGGTCTACCACAGTCCCTCCTTTCAGAGGCATGTACATTGCAGTGAGCTATTAACAGGGAGAAAAATATACAGATCACTAGCAAGCTTACGGTTGGGGATCTACTAAAGGCCAATATTAGATGAAGATTTAGGCATCGTTCACACAGGACGTTTTGCAAACTCTCCTAGAAGCTTTTCCTCCTGGAAGCAGCATTTTTACAGGAAAACTCTTGACACGTGTAAAAGTGTCTAACACTTTTACAAGCATTTAGGCGCATTTCCAGGCGTCAAGCGCTTGGGTGTTAACTCATTTCAATGGCCAGAATAATATTTTATTTTGGCCATTAAAATGAATTCTCAAGCTCTAAATGCGCCAAGTGTTAACCACTTCCTGTCCGGACACTTTTACCCCCTTCCTGTCCAGGGCAATTTTCAGCTTTCAGCGCTATCACACTTTGAATGACAATTGCGCGGTCATGCAATACTGTACCCATATGAATTTTTTACCATTTTTTTGAGACAGATAAAGCTTTATTTTGGTGATATTTATTCACCGCTAGGATTTTTATTTTTTTTACTATGTAAATAAAATGTCCAAAAATTTGAAAAAAAAAAGTGTTTTTTTTTATAAAATTTTGCAAATAAATAATATTTCATCATAAATCTTGGCCAAAATTTATTTCGTTTTTTTTTTTAGTAAAAAAAAAAATCCAAATTAGTTTATAACCAAAAATTATAATTTTTAAACATTTTTTTTACATTTTTATTTTATTTTTTTATATTATTTTTTATTTTATTTTTTTACATACTGTCACCCTAGCAGTACAGTGTCACCATGGTGACACTGTACTACTTGTGGGGGGTGATGAAGATTTTTTTTTTTTTTTTTTTTACACTGATTGCTTTTACACCCATATAGGATGTAAAAGCAATCATTTCTCTTTCTCTCTGTCTGCATTCTTGCAGTCATTGAGAAGTACTGAGTGAGCTGTGATTGGTCACAGCTTGTCACATGGTACAAGGCTGTTGTGAATAGCCTTGTACCATGTGACCTCTGTGATCATTCACAGATTTCACACGTAGTAAGCAATGATGTCACAAGTGACATCTTGCTTACTACTTTGCATGTGATCACTGATTGGCCAATCAGTGATCACATGATCGGGACCTCGTACAGAGGTCCCGTCCGACGATCGGTGTTTTACTGTGTCCAGAGGACACAGCAGGCACCGGATCGCGGTGCTGCGCGCTCCCAGGGAGCGCGCACAGCTAGAAAAGGCGGGTGCCGTTTATGAACGGCAACCCGCCCCTGGAGTGCCACCGCCCTGCCGTTTATCAACAGCAGGTGGACGGCAAGTGGTTAACATGTGTTAAGATGCATTTGCACATGTTTACAAGCGTCAAGTGTTTTATCTGCTAAAACTCTACTGCTCCTGAATGCACTGGCAGTGTTTTTTTTTTCCATAAAACAAACCAACTAATTTCCTTGTGCCAGCAAAAACAGAAAATAGATAAAAACTGCTTCATCCAGTACACAATCTAGATACTAGATGTAAAACAGCTGCAATGGGCACCCTGTCTCTTAAAATTCCAAAGTGCAATTGTGCATACAATATAATATCAAACCATATTATTATAGAGAACTTGATAATGTGAGCTCATTATATGCAATAACCTAAATAAATATCGAGATAAAATCACAAGGTTGTGCCAAAACACCATACTCAACTTTCAAAAAAATAAAAATATCAACCTAGAAGAGTGTGTACCGTACAGATGGACAAATTTGTGTATGGACAATAAATAAGCTAGATGCCAAAATATGTAAAAAACACGCAAACTTAAAAGGTGTAAGTGATATAACCCAGTACTCCACTCTCAAGATAGAAAAAACATGTGTACAGATGGACAAATGTACATACAGACACAAGTTAAATAAGAAAGCACAAATAAAAAATATATTATTCAATATTGCAAACAAAGTTTAAGACGAATAAAGCAACCAAATTTGCGAAATGTCTGTACAGATGAATAAATATCCTTATGAACAGTCCACAATCAAGATGGAAAATCCCAAAGAAGAAAAGAAGACTTCAAAGTGTAAGATGGAGAGCATTCAGTGCTACAGGAATAGAGGGTGCCCGGAAATCACACCACCCATATGTAAGGTGAACTCCTTACCAGTGACGCTGATCCCTCATAGAGATCATGAAGTGCCTTGCTGTCCCACAGCACAAAATATTCAGACACGCACACTCCATCTAGATACGATCCTGTGTAAGTCCTCAGCACAGTGGAGTTAAAAACAAGAAGGGACCACCATAGTGCAGTATGTTAAAACCAAGGGCTTTTAATATGGTAATGTACCTACAATAAGAAGACCATCACAAGCATATGACAAATGATAAGCATCACCGGATTCTGCCAGCGAACATAATAGCATCACGTGTTTGGCCCTGCACTAACGCATTTCACTGTAAACAGTGTATTCTGAGGATAGAGGCATAACACAGGACGTCCACTGCTCTCTTAAATACAGTACAGGAAGGGGAAACTGCAAGCTAACCAATCAAGAAAAATCTACAAAAAAACAATATATGTAGAAAATTAAATAAAAACAAACAAAAAATAGATATACATTGATAACAAAAAGAGCCTGAAAAAAGGGTGTCATCTTGTGGTCAAAAACAAATTATACATCCTCATATTACTATATGCCTCAGGATCTCCAAACTGAGACTGCATTTTCATAGGCTAATTGTGGACATAAATCTAGTCAAAATCTTTAAAAATACCAAAAAAACAGTCAATAAAATTAGTAAAATTAAACGCAAGAGAGAGGAAAGTGGGTAAGATTAAGAATTGTTAATGTAACAATTAATATCCCAATTGTCATTATGACCCAGCGGATAATAAGTTCTGAGATGGTAAATCAACTGGGTTTCGCATTGCGAAATGACCTTCTTGAGGTTACTTCCACGCCAATTAGGAGATAATTTATCTATAGCAACCAATTTTAACCTCTTCCCACACGCCCACAATGTACTGCAGACGGGTGGCAGCTACAGGCATAGCAACATACGGGTATGTCACTCTGGCTGTACTAACACAGGGGGGCGCTGCATGCCCGAGCGGGTACGCAGCACTACCCACCCGTGACTGCAGTGTCCAGTGGACACAGCGGAATGAAGTTTTGACACAACCTTATTTGTGATGCTATCTTGTTTTTGTTTAGGTATGCGCATATATTGAGCTCACATTATCAATTTTCTCTATAATAATATGGTTTGATATCGTTATATTGTATGCACAACTGCACTTTGAAATGTTTAAGAAACCGCATACCCCCCTTCTTTTTTTTTAGTATTTATATGAACATGGCCTAACCTCTTTTACCTCTGCAGACTTGTAGCTTTACTGTTTGTTTACCTATAACTGTTGAACTTCAATATTTCTTTTCGCTTCTTTATTGTTTTATATTTTGTCTTTTCTTTATTACACATCTGACAATATTGTACTTTCTGTGACCACATATGTTAACTCTAATGTAACAATTTTTTATTTATATGTATTATTTTTTTTTTTTTTACATTTTGGTCAACATTTGATATCATTCAGATACCTGTAATTGTGTGTAGTACATTTTCTTTACTTTTACTTACACTAAATGTTGAAGTGATATTAGACCACAGAGATCTATTGATACCCCTTGAAGAATACATTATTTCCTATGCCTTAATAATACTAACACCTCAAGCACTATTTATGCAAAGCTTATCTCACTGCTTTCTTTTGGAAAATGATCCCATCTTCTTAATCTCCTTTAACTCTTGTGGTCCCCGGGCCATTGATGATACTTGTTGTCCCCTCTTGAGTGATGGCTATTTCCCAAACTCAACATTTGATGAGACTTTGGTCTCTAACATTTTTTTTCTTTATACATTCATTTGTATTTCTTTCTATGTTATCATTTTAATGTTATTTTTTCCCCCTCCCAAAATCCTTCCCTTTCATTGCCTTGTCTCCCCTCCCCCATTGTCCTATGTTTGGAATGCACAATCTCCACCTCTATCTTGGACTTTCTGTGGACATCATAAGCTTCTTCTCCATACATACCCATGGCTCTCAAACTCCTGACTTTGAATGTACAGGGCCTTAACTCCCCTATTAAAAGGAGAACAGCCTTTAATTACCTCCATTCTCAAAAAAATAGATGTAGCTTGCTTCCAAGAAATGCATTTTTCCACCAGATCCACACCTATCATCTTCCATTCTTCTTTTCCCTTAGTTTTCACTTCATCTGCTCTAATGAAACCTAGCAGAATTTAAAAAATCTCTCTTTCATATGCCATAAAAGCATCTCAGACCCCCAGGGTTGCTATCTTCTTCTTCAAGGCATGCTCCATGTGCGTGACAATTTTAAGCTACTATGCATCTAACATAAACAGAGTTCCTTTTCTTTCCCATCTAATCAAATTAATTCATTCTCCACTAAAGGTGCGGAGACTCAAATTTAACTACTTGCCCTCTAGTCAACAAATCCTCCACTACATCCCAACTTATACACATTGATTCTTTGCGTTTTCTTTCACTCTTCTCTCAGGCAGGATTTTTAGATTCTTGGAGGGAGCTACACTCTGTAGCAAGAGATTATACTTTTTTCTCTTCCTTACACAATGTTTACACTCAAATTAATCACATATTGATACAATGTGATACAAAATTATACAAAAACTTCTATTTCAACAATCTCCCGGTCAGACCAGGATCCTGTGGTAATTTCTTGCCTTTCTTTATTAGAAAAAAACCAAAACCATTGTCTTGGATCTTAAACAAGTCCTTACTCTTTTATCCTAGACTCATTGTGTTCTATTACTTCAGAATACTTTCATTTTAACACACACTCTGTCCCTTCCCCCATCGCAGTATGGAAAGCATATAAAACATTCATATGTGGACATTTAAAGCGATGCTAAAGTTTCTTTTTTTGTAAAATAACAATCATGTCTATACTTACCAGCTGTGTGCAGTGGATTTGCACAGAGCAGCCTGGCTCCTCCTCTTCTCGGGGCCCCCACAGGCTCTCCTCGCTCCTCCTGTCTGTCGGGTGCCTCCACAGCAAGCAGCTTGCTATGGGATCACCTGCTGCTCCGTGTGTCCATTCACACTCAGAGCGTGGCTTGGCCCCACCCCTCTCTGTCCTCATTGGCTGACCGGGTGTGATTGACAGCAATGGTAGCCAATGGCTCTCGCTTGCTGTCTAAGCCAATGAGGAGGCAGGGACTCGGGACAGCAGTGGCTGTCATTCACATTACTGGATCTCGATGAGGCTCAGGTAAGTATTAAGGGGGCTAGGGGAGCACAAAAAGGTTTTTTACCTTCATGAATGCATGCATGAAGGTAAAAAAAACCTTCAGCCTTTACAACCGCTTTAATAAAAATGATCTCACAAAAACACCATGAATGAACACGTTGGAAAGATGAATTGGAAAATGAATACATCTCATAAACTTCAATACCCCTTTTATGCTCAGAGCAATAAATCAGGAACTATGTTGGTGAAACCACTGTGCCACTTCACACCCACTTCAGTCCCCATTTCTTTACACACACGACTACACATGCTTACTAGTAAACCAATAGAAGTCTTAGATAAATTCTGACATCATCTTTCTTTACTCTATTCCACCTCTGCCAACTTCCCTACACTTCAAGCTGACGCCTTTTTCCAGAACCTGCAACTCCCAAAGATTCCTTATTATGTCAACTCAACTTTATGCTCTGACATTTCAGCTGAAGAAATTCAACTTGTGATCAAAAGCCTTAAGATCAGTATACACCCAGACCTGCATTCCTACAGTGCTCTATTTTAAAAATCAACTCAACATTTGACATGATGGGATTTTATAAGCACAAACAATCTATTTTTGTCTTATTTAAAACAACACAGTTTATTCATACATATTCATCGACCTAATGTTTAAAATCACAGTCAGTTACATTCCATCTCAAAATGAATTCTGCAAAGCTATTAAATTCTGCAAAGCTTGATGCGTTTCTGGGAATTAATCCACTTCATCAGGAGCTAGAGATGAACGTCTCTATATAATAATATAAAATTATTACAGATTATCAGCACAAATTATATTCCATCAATTATGAGCACATGATTTATATTCATAAAAGATGAAAGTGAGCCTGACAATGCTAAAAACCCACATTCTTAGTCCAATTACAGACCCATCTCCATTTTAAAACATTGACATAAAATCAGACTCAATTCTCTCTTAAGAAAATTGATCCATAAAGATCAGGTTGGCTTTGTACCCCAGCAGGGAGCAGGAAACAATATCCACAGGATGATACATTTGGCACACTTGGCAAAATCTTACCCCTGCCCCACTATGTTACTCTCACTCAACATTCGTAAAGCATTTGATATTATTCCTAGGATTACATTTTCTTCACCCTCCATAAATGGGGCTTTCATTAATATTTTAATTCCTGGATCTCTGGTCTTTATAACCAAACCTTCAGCTGTTTTAAAATATGCAGGCTTTACTTCAGACACATTCCAAATAAAAAGAGGCACAAGACAGGGATGTCCTCTATCCCCCATTTTATTTTTTCTAGCCTTAAGACCCTTAGCTATAGCTATATGCACACACACTGATATCTGTGGCCTTTCCATGTCTACTTCTCACAATAAACTGATGATGTTTGCCGATGACATATCACTATGCATTTATTCTCCCCATCTGTAGCTTATTAAATAACTGATCACTTTTTGAAATCCAAGGCCATGAAACAAATTTTATCCATTGCTCAACTGCAGTTACTTGGGGTGCTGAAAACGAAAATGACCCTAAAAAATGTTGATTGGCTCTAGTTTCCATGATATATTCACCCATCTAATGACGTAAGCCATTCAAAATTATGATGCAACTTCAGCTGCATATTGCGCAATTGATACTGGTGACCAATAGAAAATTGTATGTATACTGAGATGATGCAATATTAGCCTTTAATTGCATCACTTCACTGCATAAAAGCTGCAGTATCTGTAGCTGATTGTAGTTCGACAGCGTCTTTACATTTCGTTTTATGCTTATATAGGCTACTCAGTAATGCCTCGAACTTGTGTGAATAAAGCAGATAATTTCTGCTATATCTGCGGTGAAATAACTTTTATCTCACAAAAAAGGAGGATAACAGGAATGATTAAGAAAGCCTACAACTTGTATATTGGCTGCAAGATAGGAGACCAGGACAAGAGCTGGGCACCACATATATGCTGCAATTCTTGTGGGACGGCACTGGAGCAATGGTTGAATGGAAAAAAGGCATCTATGCCTTTCGCTGTGCCAATGATTTGGAGAGAGCCAACAGATCATGTTAGTAATTGTTACTTTTGTATGGTGCCTCCAATTGTAAAAGGGCTAAATAAGAAGAAAAAGTTATCTGTGCACTATCCAAATATTCCATCGGCAATACGTCCAGTTCCTCATGGAGAGGGGCTACCAATTCCTAAAGCACCAGAATCCTTCGTGGTTGAGTCAAGTGAGGAAGAACCTGAAGCATGTAGTCACGTGCAGTTGTAAGAGATAGCCCTTTCCTCGAATACAAGAGAAAAGCCAAGAGAAGCAAAACCGACACAAACTGAAGACAAAACTAGTGAGAATCCTAAGTATTAAAATGATTCAACTTAGCTTATGGCTATAATTTTTCTTGGTAATCCTATGCAATATATATTATGCCATTTAGGCTTTGTTATGTAGTCAATATCACTTGCTTTATATTTGTGGAAAGATATCTATCTATATAATTATTGTGCATTATGTAGTCATTACGCCTATAATAGAAAACTTTCCGTTTACAGAAAAACTAGAGCCAATTGACAAATTTCATTGTTATATTTGAACTCAGAATGTGAAATTCATTAAGAAATGGATCCTTTTGTTTCCAAAACTGGCAAAAAATAAAAATTTGTTGAACAGTGTTATTTAAGGCTAATTATCCAGCTATAATCAAAACCTTATCTTCTCACCTCCCTGAAAACACTTTCCCTTCCTGGTTCAGTAAAAGCCACGCTATTAAAACAACTTATCTACCCAAACTATTATATTATTTCAGGGTATTATCTGTCCCTGTCCCCCAACATAATTTAAAATACTCTACTAGGGAATATACTAAAATGTATTTGGGGTCATCATAAACATAGACTTCCAGCCTCTATGGTAAATGCCTTCATGGAGGCTTGGCAAATATCCCAACTCACTTTTCCCCACTCAGAAGTTGAATTCCCTATAATATGGACTAATCTAGTGCAATCAACTAGTTCCCCTCTTCCCAGATATATTTTGCTTTCACGACCCAAAATCTCAGATCCCTCCTTATGTCACCTTCTCAAACAATGGGATTCAGTTAAATACTCAGACAATCTCATCTCCCCATATCTTCCACTATTGGGACTTCATGGTACTCCCTCCTTCACCCCAGCCTATGACAACCCTCTTGCATTCCGATGGCATTATATAAAGGCAATATATATATATATATATATATATGTGTGCGTGTGTGTGTTTCTG